GCTACTGACAACAGCCAACCTTTATGTCCATGGATGGATCAATGGATAAAGAAAACGTGATATATACATACACCGGAATGTTACTTGGCCTTAAAAAAGAAGGAAATCCTCTCATACGCTGCAACATGGGTGAATCTTGAAGACACTGTGCTAAGTGAAATCAGCCAGTCACAGAAGGACAAATACTGCATGATTCCACTTATATGAGGTACCTAAATGGTGTCGAGTACAATGGTGGTTGCACAGACTAGAAAGAGTGGGAAGTAGGGAGGAAGAAACAGAGTTTCAATCATGCAAGATGAAGAGCTCTAGAGATCTGCTATACAACAACGTGCATATAGTCAACAATAACGTATTGTACACCTTAAAATTTGGTAAGGGGATAGATCCCAAGTTATGAGTTTTTTACTACATACACACAAAAAAGAAGTATCCAGTTACAGAGATTGTCTTAATGGGATTTGAAGGGACATGGACAAAAGACTTGACCCTTGATGTTAAGTTAGAGGATAGCCTTTCTAAGGGTTTAAGAGTTTAAGAACTCTGAAAATCTGATGATACTCCCCAAGAAGCAATAAATATACCTCTAATACTTAACCATAAAGTCCAAGTTAAGATATCTATGATAATTTTTTAAAATATTAAAGTATAAGTATTAAAATGCATGGGAAAAAAGGCCAGAAGAAAATAGCCATAAATATAACTAGGTAATAATATTATGATTTCTTTACACTTTAATATTAAAAAGAATTTATTTTTATAATAGCACTACAGAGGAACCAGCATGTTTAATACTGCCTATAACAAACAAATAATTTAGCCTCTTTTTTTGAAACTCGTTGGAAAATGAAAGTTTCTATTTGGCACCCTGAAGGAGTTAAAGTAACATCCTTCAAAATGAAAACGTGTCTCCTTACAGCCATAGCCTTGCAGTGTAGCTGAAGCGCACTAACAGGGCATAGTTAGTTAGTTCAGGTCTGTGTATTGAATGGATCATGGACAGACATGTCTCTCCCCACCCACCCCAAGGTAAACTGTGAAATTGCTGAGAAAGAGCAAGGTGAGTAGGGGATCACAGTTACAGGAGAAAGGACACAAATCCAATAAACTCTAAAGATGAAGGGATACAAGCAGGATGACAGGAGTCCTTCATTGGTCCAGCATCATGAGTGACATTTTCTTTTAAAAATAGAAAATACCCACTATAAATGCAAAGCGTCTATTTTAATCCCATTAAATGGAAAAGCATCCCCTAATGGACTTCTCTGCCTTCTTGAACTGTGTGTCTGATTCTTGAAAATTACCATCCTCATGAATACCCCAATTGTTCTCAAAAGGGGGTAAATGGCGAGTTCATAATCAGTGCACTCTAGTGAGAAACCAGAGAGGAGAGGGGTTGGTCTGACGAGGAGGAACAGGCTTCCTGGTGGTGACTGCTCGTGGTGCTGGAGTGAGAAAGAGTAGGATTAGAAGGAGCAAAGAGGGAAAGGGAGGAAGATGTTTCTGGAATGATGAAGAGATTATCAGGAGGAGATGGAGAAAATGAAAACCAAGTTTGTTCAGACTAGGAACAGTCTTTAAGAATCTACCAAGGAATTTCTAATCCCCTTCTGTGGGCGGTGGGGACACAGCTGCAACCTCTCAGAAGGGAGGGACAATTTTATTTGTAATGATAACTCTATCTATGTGTCTATTTCCCCCTTGCTAATTTTCTGCAATCTAAAATTTCAAAAATTCTAGTGTCTAGCATCTTTCTGACTACTCAAGGGGCTCTCCTTCAGAATTCAGACCGGGTCTTTTCACTGCTTCTGTTTTATTCCTAGTTCTACGGGGTGGTCAGGAACAACGCTTACTCCCTAACTCCTCATGTTTGCAGGTGAAGAAAGTTCCTAAGAGTAAGACTCCCAGGGAAATAACTAATACTCATCACTGGATGGTGAAGTATCACCTATGTACCTTTGTTTAATGGGATACAGGATGAAGCTAAGATGGAAATTTATGGAAGACGGTTCTCAGCTATTATACTTGGTATTTTTTTTCTATCTTTGAGCAGACTATCATTAATTAGGTAAAATAGGATTAGATACTGAAGATTCCTGCTGTGGTACACCAACAACTTCCTGTGATAGAGAAAAAGAACTCATGGGTGTGTTTCAGACATGAAAATATCTTGAAGAAATCTGAATTGTTGTTAAGAAACTGAATGCCTTGGGAAGCAGAGTGCCTCCATCATGGAAGGGTTCAAGCCTTAGCTGGTCTGCCCCCTGGTGGCATTGGGGAGGCAGTGGAGGCAGGATTTAAGAGTAGTTAACAGAATCCATTCCAGGAGTATCCGTCATGCCATCCATGGGCTGCATGCTGATCATTTGAGGACTGTTTTCTTATCTGTAGTGTCTGATAACAAGAAAATCCACATGGACCTTTTTTTCTTTATTTTCTCATCAGCTTTCATTAGTGTTTGTGTATTTTATGTGTGGTCCAAGGCAATTCTTATTTTTCCAATTTACAGCAGAGAAGAAAAAAGGTTGGCCACCCTGTTATTTATTGTTTGTATGATCATAAGCACATTATTTAACCTCTCCAAACCTTCAGTACGCTCACCTAGGTAATGGGGATAATATAATACACCTCACAGTGTTGTTATGACGAACAAATGAGAGGGTGTGTGTAGTTTAGTAAGCACTGCGCTTGGCATATAAACATTCAAAAGAAACCAATAATAAAAATAATTGTCATAATATCATTATGAGGAGAGAGTTAAGCTTAGAATGGGAAGGTAACCTCGACAGTATTTAGACTCTTGCTTACACGAAGAGTCTAAAAGTTTATAATCATCACTGATGTTCCGTATTCTGCAAAGCATCACCAATTTGTGTTTGCTTAAGTATTATCAAGCAGTCCAATAAACAGCAGGTATGTGTAAAAGATGTTTAGCACACGCTGCATATAGTATACAAGTATCAGAGGTTTGTGGCTAATTCTGAACAGGTGGGTCCAGTGACTCACAGGGTTCTTTCTCCATGGAAATGTCAACAGAGAAGAGGATGAGGACAGAGATGCCCCCTCAGCATAATCACCAACAAAGCAAAACAATGGAGGGGGTTAACCTAGGTACCCACCCTACCTTCTCTCAGTTTCATGATTCGAAAGAACGCCATCAAATATTCTGAATGTTTCCACTTCTGGGATAATGTTATTTATTCTGTAGTGCTAGTTTACTGTGTTCAATTTTTCCACAGCTGCCTTAAACTTTTTCTTAGAGCTTGCAATATCCTTCTAAAGGTTAAATTAACCATGTCAGACCATTATCATAGCATTAAGTGACTACTTCAAACAAAATATCTAACCAACAAATACTGGACTGACTTTCTATCTTGTGTTCCAGGGTTACCAGGCTCTAGTTACAACAACTGAAAAAATTACCATCTTATTCCTAGACATGAGGAGCTCCCCAGCAAATCAAATATCAATAATTTTAATAACTTACAAATATATGGTGTTCAAGTGATTTCAAAGAACTTCAAATGTACTATCTCACTTGATTATCACAGAAGACAGACAGGACTTACATTGTTATTTAAAGATGAGGGGAAAATTTTGAGTTCAGAGATGCTAAGCCCAAGGTCCTGTGGCTGATAAATGACAGAGCCAGAAGGACTTGGGACTTATGTTTTATGCCTCAGAATCCAGGATGCTGTTGTTCAACACCACTTCTAAAAGATCTGTATTTATGGTCAGAGAATAGCTCTGTAGTTAGAGAATAGCATTCAATATATATTGATGAATGACCTAATCCTACTGTAGTTCAAGATAAATATTTTCATGATTAATTTTAAATTTTAATCCAAGTTGAATAAACATTTTTAGCTTAGGCAAAAGAATTATATGAGGAGAAATATTAATAGTACCATATATACAATACACAGTCTACAGATACTAAAGCAGTCATTAGCCATGAGAACTAATGGATAAATACATCCTTATGCAAATGTGGCACTGAGCACCACCCTTCAATTTCCTCTTAAGTGAAAAGATAACCTTGACTTGAGGAAAGCCCCAGGAATGATGTTATGTCACTTACCTCTGTTACTCTGGATATCAACAAAATAAAGTAGGTAAGTCCATAAGGCATTTCACACACACACACCCATCCTTTTGTTAGTGTACTACAATGCCACAAGTGAAGCAGCCTTCCTTTGTCATTTCCCACCATAAGTCTTCATCTGATAGTTGGCCAAGGAGTGGCAAAGGTACCAACCTTCTACGCCTTGTAATACCTGATGGGAACTGCAGGAAGTGCCTTAGAGGTCAAAGTGTGCTTAACAGTGCGATGGGATGTGGCCTTCCGCTGTGTGCCTGTCACATAACTGCATTTACTCCTAAATTAAAGATTACAGAAATATCCTGTTCCCTGATTTGATTCCCTTAAAATAAACTTCAGAAAAAACATATGGGAAATACTGGGTATTTATAAACTGGTCAATCATGTGGTTACAACTAAGACAAATATTTTCTACTCTATATACCTATTAAAATGACACAAATCAAAATACTTCATACTTTGAGGTTTTCTCTATTATTTTCTTGCCAGTACTGGTTAACTATCATGTATTTATAGAGACCTGGAATGTCACGTTAGTTGGTATTTTTTATCAGTTTTATTCACAACAAAGTTTACCAAGTTTGGTCTACATAAAACCATAACTGGTATGAAATTCCTGTCAAATGTATCAACACTCTTGGGACCTCACATTTTACCAATTTCAGACTTCCTGACATGGCCTGTCTAAGCAAGGTCTATCCATTTACCCTTATTATGTGAAATCTGAAAACAAGCCCCAAAGCCTCTTGAGTGTAGCTTTTGCTTAAAATAAGGCTAAAACCATAGATTATACAGGGCCGCCACATTTGGTAGTTGCAATTTGTGTTTTCGTAATGGGGCATGTTCGGGAAATGACATTGTGGTCAGTGAAGGCTCTAGCCGCTGTCATAAGACTCACTTTTGGCACATGAGGATTGAATTCCACAGCTCTGTGAATGGCCTCTACCGCATTCATCTCTGCTGTGCTCAGCCCCCGTCGAGATGCAGCCTCAGGAGAGAATCTGGAAAGCAGAAAGACAAACACCATCCTGTTGGGACCACGGCTGGGGCATCAACCTGAAAAGGCATCTACACATCAAGGGCCCCTCAAACCACAGCGAGCCAGTGGCACAAGCTCTCCACACTCCCACTACGTGGGACCTCTGAGGGACCCCTCAGACCGAGGCCAACAAGAACCCCAGCAGAAGCAGAAAGCGTGCTTGCGTCTAATCGTGGCGGGAATTAAATTCAGCTGTCAATCTCTCTGTCTAAATAGCTAATCTAAATTTTCTACGAGGTACCTGCTTAGGTGGGAGGAAGGGGTAGGACTGATAAGGGCAGACAGTGTAGGAAAAAGAGAAAACTAGGTTACAGAAGAGCGCACTTGGTTAAAAACAGACCTGGGGAGAATTTCAAAGGAGGCTCCCACCCGATGTCAGTGCTGCGATGGAGGGTTAAGATACTGCAGCTTCAGCAGCAGGCGAGCCTGCCTGGGGCCGCCGGCAGGGGGTGTGCACGCCCAAACTGCGGGCAAGACACCTGCCCAAGTGAATGAAAAAAACCAGACCATGCAATCTCTTTCTCACCTCACACCCAGGGCTAACTCCAGAGCTGTGCTTGGCAGGCAGACACCACAGGGGAAGCTGTGACAACCCTGGCCCTGCCCTCCCAAGCTGGAGTCGCTGTGTAGGGAGAAAAGATGTTGCAGTAGGTACTGGCGATCTACAGGATAAAAAAAGAATGAAAGAAAATTACTTCGGTCTTGAAGTGCACACACACTAAACAGCAAACCTGTCTGACACAGCAGAGACTGCTCTCCTGTTCTCTGCTTTTTGATGCTACCGAGGGACTGTATCGGGGAGTGTAAATGTTCAGGAAGTCAAAAACAGTTAAGCCAACCGTATGCTCCTTCACCTGCCAGTCATCCTGGGGTGTCTGTGAAAATTCTAGGTGACATAGTCACCTGCCTGAAGCAAATGGGCAAATGTCCCATCAAAATGGCAACTCAAAGTAAACAGACCCTGGGTGGGCAGCTGCTGTGGCATCTGTGAGACATGGAGAATATGAGGTGACCATCCCCTCTGCCACATTCCATGTCTGTGTGACTACTACCCAGTCGTGGACTGCTGACAGAAGAGGACTGTGCAAAAAATGAATGAAAGATGGCATTCTGTGTGAGTCCTAAGCAGGCCTTTTGGTATCCACTGTCTAACAAAAAAAGGAAAGTCACCTCAGAGGCATGAAATGTCATATAAATCCCTCTTTCGGAACCCATTCACCCTTAGGATATGATACCTGGGGATATACCTTCCCTCCTGGTAGTGAAAGAAAAGATCAGCAGGTATTGGAAGATGCATGCTTATAAGCAGGGGTCTCGGAGACTAAGAGAAACTTCCAGAGAAGCCCTCTGAGGCAACATGTCTCTGTAAGTACAGTCAGGCATTCAGGAGCACACAAGTTTCTGTTCACTTACTTGTCAGAGACAGCTCTTGCTTTGAGCAAGGCTGCTGTGTAGCATATGGTGGCCGACTTTGGTAAGCTTATATCTGCAGACAGAAAACAAAGTAGGGAGTCCTGTAAGTCTGCAGTTACAAAGAGCAATACTTTCCAACACATTCACATTTTAATCATCTCAGTCCAAGAAAGCACAAGTTAAAAATATGTTAACACATACATTTCACAAGAACTGTAGCTATCCCTTATGGTATCAAGGTGATACATAGAACTAAGGGTAATTTGTGTTTTTGAAAATAATTTTCTTTAAAATCCACCCAGCTGCCTTTTCAGCAGTTGTCTTCTATTTTAAAATATGAATTTTCATATGTTGAGTTTATTCAAACAGAGTATAGCTCTAAATACGTACGTTTAGATATTACATGGATACCCTTCACATGATTGGCTAACTGGACCTCTTTGTCATTTATAAAAACTTCTCAACAGGCATTGTGAAATGCTACTGGGAGGAACAAGATACCTAAATTTTTAAAAAGTCCACAAGTAAACAAATAATTCTTCAGTGGTTAAGATGGAAACTAAAGTTCATTGTGTTCACTTTCCAGACATTCATGTTGAGTTTTTAGTAGCGCTTATTAAAAACGTTCCCCGTTGGTGGGAGCTCATTCTCTTTCCTATCTTTTAATGCTAGTAAGTTATTTTGGTTTCACTGTTTAACAAAAATAAAAAGTAGCAAATTATTTCAACATCCTTGTTTATATAGATATTTTCAATGTTTTTATTTTAATTCTGTGAAGACATTACATCTATTTGGTAATGGCGATTTGGCTCTAAGGGGGGGAGGGAATCACTCTGAAGAAAGTGATACTAAAAATTTCCCTTCACACAGAGTATCTTGTTGAAATAGTTTTTGGTTTACAAGTTCCATTTTTTAAAATGATGCTTATTTTTCTGCAAAGGACTTTGGCAATATAAATGGAAAGCCTTTACAGTTTACCTATCTAGAAATTCCACTCTTAAAACTTTATGCTGAGGAGATAATTGTGGATATGAACAAAAATTGTTCATCATGAGATTGTTTCTAAAGAAGGGAAACTAGAAACGAGCCCACTGTCCAACCACGGGAGATTGGTTAATTTACTGGACATTCAAAGGGTGCAATTCCAAGCAGTCATTAAATAACATGATGGACGTGAATGATCTGGGGGACAGTGTCGTATGCAGCTATCAATAAGTACAATACATTTTTAAAAAGTAGGCTTTAATATTCACTTTTAGAAGCGTTTGTATACACAAAGATAAAAAGACTGGTATAATACAGTACAAGTACAGGAAGATGCCCCTCCCTCCTTATCTGCAGCTTCAGTTATCCATAGTCAACCGTGGTCGGAAAATATTAAATGGAAAAATCCCAGAAATACTTTATAAATTTTAAATGGTGTGCTACTCTGAGTATTGTGGTATGACGTGAATCATGCCTGGGATGTGACTCATGCTCTTGTCCAGCACCTCCAAGCTGTAGACACTCCCCGCCCGCCCATCACTCTATAGCCATCCCAGTTATCAGACTGCCTTAGTATTGCAGCGCTGTGTTCAAGTTTACTTTATAACGGCCTCCGAGGGCAAGAGCAGAGATGCTGGCAATTCCGATATACCAAAGGGAAGTCATAAAGGGCCTCATTGAAACGAAAAGGTGAAAGTTGTTGACTTAATAAGGAAAGGGGAAAAAAATCGGACACCGATGTTGCTAAGATCTATCCTAAGGAATCTACTCACAATATTGTGAACAAAGGAAAAGAAATCTGTGCTAGGCTTGCTGCTGCACATCCAACTGTGAAAGTTATGGCCACGGTGGGCGTGCTAAGTGGAACGAGAAGGCGCACGTTCACATAATCTTATTAAGTTCATAGGATTCCATACGACCTGTGGTTTCAGACATCTTCTGCAGGGGGCCGGGGCGGGCGCCCTTAGAAAGTGTCCCCTGACAATATGGGGGAAATAATGTATCAAGGGTGTTTCCTTCTGGGTGGCAGGATTATAGGCATGTTTTCCTGCTGTTTATCTGTTTTTCCAAAGCTTCTTATGATATACTTGTAACTGAATTTTTAAAAGATAACAAAGATGCTAGAAGGAAGAATTCTGTTGTATAAATTGGAGCAAATTCACAGGCAAATAGCAAACACAGCACAGACAAGGGTCGAACTGGTCTATTCAGTGTGGTCAGGCCGCAGATCTATCAGACACTCACAGACTCTTGTAAAGTTGGGGTGTTCCATGTGCTCTGTGCCTGCTACAGGACACTCACCTTGTTAACCATACTTTAATCTAGTAACTGCCTAACATCTAAAGAGGAGACCAGAGCTGGTGCTCTGGCTCACTGTGAAGAAAAGCCAAATCTCACTACCCTAAGTACCCTAGATGATAGATTGTTATTATATGTTGCTTGCCCTGTGGACACTACTTTGTTCATTTCCCCACTCCCCAAACACCCCCAAAGATGGAGGCGTGGCTGTTGTGGCCTATTATAATTTTTAAACGTAATAGTTTGACATAATTATAGGCTTACAGACTTATAGGAATTTGTAAAAATAGTACATACAGTCTTCTGTGAATTTCTCCAATAGCAATATTTTATATAATTGTAGCATTAAAACAAAAAGAAATCGATTTTACTTCACTACCATTACCTACAGACCTTGTTCATTTTTTGCCATTTTTACATGGGTTCAGGTATGCATGTCTATGCCATTTTATCCTATATTTGAGTTCACGGACCATCACAACCATGAAGATACAGAACTTTTCCATTATTGTTGAAGAACTCCCTCATCACCCTCCTTGTCCTTCCTCATACATGTCCCCTGGTGACCAATCATCTATTCTCTATGGTTTTGTCCACCTACTATGATTTCATGCTTTGATCACTAAGGAAACAGATAAAATGATAAGATAAACTGGCCACCGGTAGTGATGGCAATGACAATGACAGTATCAGAAGTTTTGAGCAGAGAATAACAATCTATCATCTACTTTCCAGTGCTGTCTGTATTTTATTTTATTCAGAAATTTTATTTTGAGGAAGAGACTCACAATCGTTTAGATTAGTCTGATTTTGTACGAACAGATTTCTGACTCTGCAATGCCTTTCTGTCTCTTGTAAGAGGCAGTCAGCTACCATTATTACCAGAAAGTCCTCTTAAGAATTAGAATCCAAGGAGGAAACAAAAGGAAAGGAAATAATGAGACCTCACCTAATTCCATTACTCACTGCAGAAACAAGGAAGGTTAAATAAATGTTTCTCACTTAAACAAGCTGAACTGTTGGCATTAATTTAATTTTTCTTCTACATCTTTGCCACCTTGTGTTTCATACAAATCCTTTTCTGAAAGGAGACATTTCCCCAACCATGCTAGGCACGCGAAATCCAACTGTATTGAGAGTTGTTCATTGAGAGTGATAGTCCCGATCTCTGTACAAACGGGATCAGAGGATGTGCTGTTTTGTGTTTGGCCTCTTCCACGCACCATGTTGGTGGCAAGATCGTCTTTGTGTAGCACGTATCAGTCCTTCGTTATTTTTCATTGCTGAGTAGAATGTCACTGTGTGGCTGCATCGTATGTTTATATATTCTCCTAATAATGGTTATGTGGATTGTTTGCTCACTTTGGGCTATGATGGAAAATGCTCCTGTGACCATCCTGTGTAATCTTCTTTAAAGAAACCAAATCTCATCTCTCATTTCTCTTGGATATGCAACTGGAACTAGAATTGCTAGAGCAGAAGGTAGAGATGTCTGTTTAACTTCATTGAAAACGGCTAAACAGTGCTCCAAAGTGGCTGAGTGAAGTTTGCAAACCTAATCTACGGAGATAGAGGTCAGGAAAGTGATTACTTCTGGGCTGGAGGGCAGTTACTGGCTGTAGGGGGGCAGGAGGAAACCTTCTGAGATGATATAATGTCCTGTGTTTCATCGGGGTGGTAGTTACTTAGATGTATAACTAAGTGAAAAATCATCCCTCTCTACACTTAAGGTTTGTGCATGTTACTATATTTAATACATACCTCAATAAAAATATATTTTAAAATAACCTATAATTCTTTGGTCATCAGAAGCTGTCTTCCCTTAACAATCTGACCTCTTCATAGTATTTTACCTGCCTTTTTATCATTTTGTCCCACTCTATTCTCTTCAGGAATCCTTCTCGAAAAACCTAAGTCTTTCAAACCTTAAGATGGTTAAAATATTTCCTTTATACCAATCTTTTCCAGGATAAATATCATCAGTTCCTCAATTGACAGTCTTCAGAACTTCTCAACTCTTTTTGTTGCTTTCTGAGTCATGGGTGATTTTGAAATATAATTAGAAAAGAAAATAATCATCTAACTTCCCTGAACCCAACCAGTCCAGAGCTCAGGGTAAATGTGCAGTCAGAGGAGCTGTGGCCACTACACCTGCCTAAGCACCAGCTGGAATGACCCTGGGGGTCAACAAAACCCCCTCAGATTCTATTCAAATTGATTTCAGCCAAAGTCAGGTCTTTTATTGGAAGCTATGAATATTTTTTGAAATTTTCAAAACCTATAGGCAGGATTACATATTTGACTCCATTAAATTTTAAGTCTTAAAATTAATCTAAACCATTAAATCTGAATGGGTTCAGCACATCATTCCAGCATACTAAACTTTCTAATTCTAGCTGCCACCCACAGCTTTGTTCCATCCATATTTTCTTCCCTAAATGATCATTTTCATCTTCAGAATTACTGCTATCACTTACCAAGGCCTTAGTAAGTGCCAGGCACTGGTGTTGATCACTTACACACATTATCCTATTTAAGCCAGAGCAACTCTATGAGATGGGACTGTTAGCTCCATTTATAAATGGGGAAAATGAGGCATAGAATGGTTAAGAGATATGCCAGTATCACAAAGCTAGAACAAATAGGACCTGTCTCCAGAGCACAGATTTTTAACTGTGCTGCTGTCCCCAAAGTCTGATTTAAAAACTACTGACCATGGAAAGACTAAGGAGAAAATCCAGAAATAGGATACTATAAAATTGCCCTCAATTTACTGTGGTCTGCAAAGAC